TGGCATAAACAATTTCTAGCTAACCTTAGTAGACCATAAAGATGCACCATAAGATTTCACAGCACAGAGTATGTAGGAAATTCTAAAATGTTTTTTTCCATGATTGTTAATTGAGGTCCTACTATGTACTAAATACTATATTAGGCACCTTATACTTGCATTTAATATAACAATTCTTTGAGGGTAGATTTATAGAGTTTTATTACTATTTTATAGATGAGGAAATTAAAGCTTGGAAAGTTTAACTAGTCCAAAACCCCAGCTAGAAAGTGACAGTCACCTGACTCCAAAGCCCATGTACTCAGTATCATATTAACTGCATCTCTGATCTTTACTCATAATATTTTTAAATACAGTATTCTTCTATACTTTGTATTCTGTTTGTTTAATTCAAAGATACATGACAATTGTCCTCAACTATAGAAAGGGTTTCTGCTACAACATCTAATTCCTCTCCACTACTTAAATTACATTTTACCACCATTGGGTATTGCATTCTAAAATCATACTCCTACAGCAGTAAAACTAGAAAAAAAATTCCAGAATATTTCTATGCATTTTTCTATGGCATGCACAGAAATGCAGAACTAGTTACATGACAAAGGCTGACAAAACTTTAAACCTTCATATTTTGGAAACAAAATTTGCCATTTAACAGGAATTGCATTCTTTAAGCTGGAGACAACTATGGAGACAACTTTCAGGGTTAAATCCAAACATAACTATATTCATGTTTGGAAGCACTTTGACAACTCAAGGCTGAAAATCCCACACTGTGCTTGTTGTCAGTCCATTGTTTTCCTGCCTAGTAGGCTCTGGAAGTGAATATTCTACCACTTTGTGCAGTTGATGCTGGATGCTGTGTCTACTGAACTGGGGCCGTCCAGGGTCACCAATCAGCACTCGAGTTCCAAAGGTCCAACAGCAATTCTTCAGCCACTGATGAAGACTATCTGCGAGGTTTTCATCATAAAACATATCTCCAAGAACAACAAGGTCCCACTTACTTTGTTCCAAACTCAAAATATTTTTGATTAAAATGGGAAAAGGATTCAGTCGGTTCAATTCACAATTTAGTGTAATAGCCATTCCTGCAACTTTTAAAAAGCACATAATAAATTGGTAAATATGAAGCTGTTTTAATTCTCTATTGATTAATTTAAATAGTTCAGAAAACCTCTGAACAATATGGGTTTTTTTTTTTTTTCCTTTTGGTTGAAAGTTGTCTTTATAGGTAAAGAAGCCTAAAGTTTATGCCAATATGAGGTATATACTGCAATTTCCAAATATATGACTGGATATCCTGAAAACAAAACAAGCAATTTTCTGATCTCAATAACCAAGAGGTTTGGCCTTTTATTGTGGACAGGAAAACAAGCCTTGGACTTCGGCTAGGCAGCAAGTTAGAACTGAGACCCCGATATAAAATAAAGATCTTCAAGGGCTATATTCTCAGTGAAAGGGTAGACCAGAAGAAAATCAGGTTAAATTAAAACTTACCTGTCTCAAATTGGGTTCTAATGGAATAAAACTCTCCCCCAAAGACACAGGCCTGTCCTCACCTGGGTTTTGGGTCAAATAAACATTACTTACATATTTCAGGAAATTCCTAGCCCAGAAATCAACATAAGTGCTCCCAGGTTGGTATTGGGAAAAAAAGCACCATGAACCCAGGCCTCAGAGGATTACCACAGATAATGTCCCACTGAACACAAATTTACAAGATCAGATTTCAAAATACACATGGCAATAAGCTATCACGTTGTGGTGTCTGTACATATCCATCCTAGAAGGAAAAAAAAGATGAGCTTTAAATATTTTAAAATATGAAATCCTTACTAGGGTCTATGTCGTTGGCCAAGATCTTTGATGCCCCATTCATCTTAGCAGCAATAGCTGTAGCTCCACATCCACTCCCAAGATCTAATACAGATTTTCCTCTGACAACATCAGGATTATCCAAAAGATACCTAAATTAAAAAGAAAGGAGAAAACATGTCGTAGAGAGATGGGGAAAGGTCATTAAGAAGTATCAAAAAAAAAAAAA